AGAAAAAAACACTTAAAAACAAGCTTGAATCTTGGAAAAAAAATAAGTAAATAAATCTGCAGCTCTGAAATACACTGAAAAAAGCAAAATCTTGGAAATATTTATTTACTTTTTTATTTTTTTTATTTACTAAAATTAAGATACATCCTGCTTATTTTTTCTTTTGCTTGAATCTACTTTGTCATGTAATCAGAATCAGAATCAGAATCATTTTTATTGCCACGTAAGTAACAGGAGGTCACAGACTAGGAAATTGCTTTGGCTCAGTGCAACAGTCAAAAAGAGATAATAAAAATAAGAATAAAAAATACTTCTAAAGAATAAATTTAAATTTAAAATAGAGTTACAGTTACTATTTACAATATACAAGTGCACATGGTGCACACAATGTAAGGTGACAGCAGTACAGTGAAGTAAAGTGACGTATGATGGGCAGTAAAGTGACTTTATAAAGGGCGGGGGGACAGGTTAAGAAGTGTTCAAGAGTCCAACAGCAGAGGGGAAGAAACTGTTCTTGTGGCGGGAGGTTCTAGTCCTGATGGACCGCAGCCTCCTGCCTGAGGGGAGTGGTTGGAATAGTCCATGTGCAGGGTGAGAGGGGTCGGCTGTGATACGACCAGCCCGGCCTCGAGCTCGGGCGACGTACAGGTCCTGCAGCAATGGAAGGCTGCGGCCGATCACTTCCTCTGCAGAGCGCACAATGCGCTGTAGTCTCTGTTTGTCCCTGACTGTGGCTCCAGCGAACCACACGGTGATGGAGGAGGTGAGGATGCACTCGATGATGGCCGTGTAGAACTGCACCAACATCTGTGCAGGCAGCTTGGCTTTCCTGAGCTGCCGCAGGAAGTACATCCTCTGCTGGGCCTTCTTGATGAGGGAGCTGATGGTCGGCTCCCACTTGAGGTCCTGGGTGATGGTGGTGCCCAGAAAACGGAAGGACTCCACAGAGGTGATGGGGGAGTCCATCACGGAGGGTGGGGGTGGGGGGACAGTGCTCTTCCTGAAGTCCACAATCATCTCCACTGTCTTCTGGGCGTTCAGCTCCAGGTTGTTACCACTGCACCAGGACACCAGCCGGTCCACCTCCCTCCTGTAGGCGGACTCATCGTTGTTGGAGATAAGTCCAATGAGGGTGGTGTCGTCCGCGAACTTGATCAGCTTCACAGAGTCGTGGCTGGAGGTGCAGTGGTTGGTGTACAGGGAGAAGAGCAGGGGAGAAAGAACACAGCCCTGTGGGGCTCCTGTATTTATAATCCGAGAGTCCGAGACATTCTTCCCCAGATGCACTCGCTGCTTCCTGTCCGTCAGGAAGTCAGTGATCCACCTGCAGGTGGAATCGGGCACGTTGAGCTGGGAGAGCTTGTCCTGGAGCAGGGATGGCAGGATTGTGTTGAAGGCAGAGCTGAAGTCCACGAACAGGACCCTGGCGTAGGTCCCCGGGGAGTCCAGGTGCTGTAGGATGTGGTGGAGGGCCAGGTTAATGGCGTCGTCTACAGATCTGTTGGCTCTGTAGGCGAACTGCAGGGGGTCCAGGAGGGGGGAGGTGAGGGACTTGAGATGGGAGAGAATCAGGCGTTCAAATGACTTCATGACGACAGACGTAAGTGCTACAGGTCTGTAGTCATCGAGTCCTGTGATCCTGGGCTTCTTCGGGACGGGGACAATGATGGAGGATTTGAAGCAGGCCGGGACATGGCAGGACTGCAGAGAGGTGTTGAAATTGTCCGTGAACACAGGAGTAAGCTCACTGGCGCAGTGTCTCAGAGTGGCCGGAGACACGTGGTCCGGGCCAGGAGCTTTGCGGGGGTGCAGCCTCAAGAAGAGTTGTTTAATCTCTTTAGCGGCTATTGTTAGGCTGGGGGCAGGGCTGATGGGTGGGTCGTTAGAGTAGTGGGGGGTGGGGGAGGGAGAGGTGTCAGGGGCAGCATCAAAGCGACTGAAAAATAAGTTCAGATCGTCAGCTAGCTTGTGGTCGTCAGCACAGGGGGGGGCTTTGGGTTTGTAGTTGGTGATCTCCCGTAGGCCCCTCCAGACAGAAGCAGTATCGTTGTTACCAAACTGCTCCTGTAGTCGTTCTCTGTGCCGGGACTTGGCTGCTTTCAGTTCTTTCCTGAACTGATATTTAGCTGCTTTGTAGCCGCTGCGGTCCCCCTCCCTGAAAGCAGACTCCTTTGCTTTCCTGAGCTGCCGGAGTTTAGCAGTGAACCAGGGTTTGTCATTGTTATAGATGACCCTGGTCCTTGTTGGAATGATGCTATCCTCACAGAAGTGAATGTATGACGTCACAGTGTCCGTGTATTCATCCAAACTGTCTGTGGCAGCTCTGAAAAGGTCCCAGTCTGTAGATTCCATGCATGCGCGCAGCTCTTCCACAGCTTCATCAGACCATACTTTGGAGCTCCTCATTGCAGGTTTTGAGAGCTTTAGTCTCTGTCTGTAAGCAGGAACCAGATGTATCATGGAGTGATCTGAGAAGCCGAGGGCTGGCTTGGGAACAGCGCGAAAAGCTCCGCGCACGGTGGTGTAGCAGTTATCCAGAGTGTTCTCCTCTCTGGTCGGGCATTTGATAAACTGTCTGTATTTGGGTAATTCCTGGCTCAAGTTTCCCTTATTAAAATCCCCCAGGATAATAATCAGAGAGTCCGGGTATAAGCGTTCCATACACAGTACTTGCTCTGCGAGTGCGCGCTGAGCCTCGCGCGCGTCCGCGCATGGCGGTATGTAAACAGAGGCAAGAATGAATGAAACAATTTCACAAGGGGAGTAAAATGGTTTACAATGAATGAAAAGATATTCCAGAGCAGGAGAGCAGTGCTTGGAGATCACTGTCACATCGTTACACCAGTTTGTATTGACGTAGAAACACAGCCCTCCGCCTCTGCTCTTCCCTGAGAGCGCACAATGGCGATCCGCGCGGAACAGCCCAAAGCCCTGCAGCTCCAGAGCGCAGTCCGGGATCCGCTCATTTAGCCAGGTCTCAGTGAAGCAGAGGACACAGGATGTGGCGAAGTCCTTGTTTCTTCTCATGAGCAGGCTGAGTTCGTCCATCTTATTGCCCAGTGAGCGTACGTTGGAGAGAAAAATGCCGGGGAGAGCCGTGCGCGCTCCTCTCCTCCTAAGACGCACGAGCAGGCCTCCGCGCTTTCCCCTTTTACGGGCCCACACTTTTTTGGCTAGAACATGAACTAAATTAGCCGCAGATGCCAAGAAAACAGGCAATAGGTCCATGGGAACGGTGGGTCGGATGTTCATAAGTTCCTCACGGGTGTAGGAACAGCCAGATGCGCAGTTAAAAAGTAAAAACAAAAGAAAAAGAGAGCAGCAAAGAGCCATGTCGACCGTACGAGGCGCCATCTTTGTTTTAAGATAAGATTATTTTACTAGTTTTAAGATAATAATTCTTAGATATTCTTATTAGAGAAAAAAAGTCTGAGCAGTGAGTTTTAAGCTTGTTTTTTTTCTTCAGACAACTTTTCTTGTTTAGATCAAATAAGTTTGTTATGCTATATTTTAAGGAGCTATCTCTCAAAAATGTAAATAATTCTAATAATCTCATATTTTCAGAAATCAAGTCATTTTTCTTTGTTCTATTGGCAGATGTCATTTTTTATTATCTTAAGACGTATTTTACTTATTTTCATATATTTTTTCCAGTGCAGTCGTTGGGTTTTACATTCATTATTGTTCTTGTTTTTCTATGTAAATATTAGTGCAGTACAGTGTTCATGGTTTTAAACTGCTCCAAACCAAACAGATCAAGCATAAATCCAATGGTATGCAATTATAGTCTTCAGAATTTCACTCTGAACCAGAGCAGAGAATGGCCAGAACCAAGCAGACTCTGCAGACAGCAACTATGGCTGTTGCACTTTTTTTTTTTTTATCGTTAGTAACTTTTAGACCAGGTGTCTCCAACCTGTTTCACCCAGAGAGCTACTTTCCCTGAGACGAAAAAGGCAGAGAGCTCCTTAAAGCGGTCCAGGGAAAAATTCTCTGACAGATTGATGAGAACAAACCTGATATCGGGGTCATTATTTATCACCACATATTCGCTACACTAACAAAAAGTAGTTTGCATTTACAATAATAGATAATAATAATAATCAATTTACTACAATCTTGATTTGTACATTTCTAAATCTTTTGACGAACCACTGGTGGCTCCTGAGCTAAAGGGCAGATATTATTGCTTAAGAATTTCCCTGACGGGGATCAATACAGTTTCAGCCTAAACCTAACCCCTGTCTCTCTATCCACATGGTTTGTGTCTGTGACTGATGACAAACAATGATGTAACATAGTAAAAAACACACAAAAAGCTGAGTTTGCGCAATATGTGTCTGTAGGTATATGTATAGCAACTTTCCAAAGCCTGTGATGGCAGAATAGTCACTCACTCATCTTCAGTTTGCGGTCTACGGTGTCTGTGTTTCCCCCAAAACAATTATTTTGAAGCCCAGTTCCAGAAAATGTGTAATATAGTAATTTAGCCTTAGTTTCGAAGAGCTTCTCCTGAGCTGGGTTTTCCTGCAGTCCTTGGGTTTGTGCACGTGGGTTGTGTGAAGGCGACCTTGGTCTCTTAACATGTTTTCAGGACTTGAGAATAGAGTTGTTATTTCGGCTGCAGAGGGCGACCGTTTGAAGTGGATTCTCCGGGAGCAGAGGTCTTTCACGCCGGTCGTTCTGCATGAAAATCTGAGCTGTGTTTGAATGTGGGCTCTGGGTGTACTTTTCATGACTCATTTCTCCCACCGTCCATTATCTAATTACATCTGTTTAACTTTAATTTACTCAAAATGACTCCTGGAAAAAGACACCCAGGAAACCTCAGCTTGAATGGCAAATGTGTGGTACTATACTGCATTTTTCTAATCAGAATAAAATGGCATGTTCTCATTGAGATATGTGTAGATTTGAGTTCATATAACGCACACCAACATCATTTCAGACTGAAAGTTATCCCACTTTTCTATCGAAGAAAATGATTTTTAAAGTTGACCATGGTTGTTGGGGTTGTATCCATCGGTAAACACGTGTGAAAAAACAGCTGTATGCTGTTTTTAAGAAGGCATTCTGTAAGATGTTATGGCCACTGTAAATAATGTGGCCCAAGCTCAAAACAGACATATTTATATTGTAACTGTTTTTATACAGTAAAAAACTTCCATAACTCATGAGTCTATTATAGACCTTGTGATAATTAATAAGAGTTTATGCACTTTTCACAACTTTCAAAAGGCCAGAATAGCTCTTTGGTGGAAAAATGTACTCCCTGTTTCCAGCCTTTATCATTATTTTAATTATTTGCGATTTCTGTTTTTACAAATTTATGACAGTAAGATTATGTTCAAAGTTTACACAGAAAATTATCACTTAAGGGAAAAGTGAAACATTAATTTGTATTTATCATTGATTCCCCTCAGTGTCGCTGTTAAAATTAAAAGCATTTTTTTAATCAAAATAAGAAAGCGGCCGACTGGGCCAAACCAGACTTTCCTTTTCCTTTTCAGCAGCCCTAATTTTGAAATAGTCAAATGCACTTCATTAAGAGGACAAGCTCTCAACTGATGTTTGGGTATTTTGTACTTAATCTGGTAAATCTCTAATAATCATCTTCAATCACTCAATACATGGCGCTGGTAACCCACTACTATAGCCACAGCTGCCCTGGGGCAGGCTGATGGAACTGAGGAAACTGTGCCATCGGGCCCTCTGACCACACACCAGACACATCAGACACATCAGACACATCAGAGACATCAGACACATCAGACACATACGGGGGAATGTGGGAGAAGTGTCTTGCTTCAGGACCCACCACTGCTGCAGATGCTCCTCTGTGGCACCAGATGTTCACGGAGGTCTCCCATCTCAGTACTAACCAGGCCCTACTTAGCTTCTGATCCGACAGGAACCACCAGGTGGCACCACTGAAGCCAAAACAGATTTGAACGGTTTTGGCTTTAACGTTGAATATATTTTTGTTTAGATTTTCAAACAAATAGAAAGCCTTAATTTTATCATATGGGACAAGAATTAATATTTATATTAATATGTTCCAAAGTCGGATGAATAATTGTTGTCACTGAGATTTCAATTGCCATTAATCTTTCTTCCTTATATTAGGACCACTAATAATCTGATTTTGTCATAGATTATTACCATAGATCCTTAAGTACTGTTCATTAACCCTTCGTGTTTGTCTGCATGTCTTTCAGCGGCCAAGTACAACGGAGAACTCTACAACAAGCGGCGGCTGATGGTGGAGCTGCCGTCCAAGGGAGGCCTCCCGCTGCAGCCGATGGGGAACTCCCGCCCCTCCATGTCCACCATGACCCCCCCGCTGCCCTCCAACCCGATGACCTCATCCCACATGAACCAACCCATGGCCCAGATGATGCCCATGACTTCCATGACGTCTATGACACACATGACCTCAATGGCGCCCATGACGTCGCTGTCCCACATGCCCACGCTGACCCCCATGACCTCCCTGGGCCCGCTGACCCCCGAGCCGGTCGCCACTTACACCACCCTCCCCACGGAGCGCCACATGTCCGGATCCTCTTCCGTGCTTCGTGCCAACGGGCAGAAACTGAAAAGCATCCACACGCACCCAGCCCACAGCTCACACAGCCACTCTCACGGCCACAGTAGCAAGCCGCCGGGGATGTCCGGAACCTCGCTGGCGCACATGTCAGGGACTATGCCAGGCGGGACTTCTATGGGCATGTCCCGGGGGAACGAAGGCGGGATGGGCATGGGCACCGCGACCATGGGGAGGCCATTTCAGTACAGTTCCAACACGATATCGGCCACTCCGCACTCCATGGGGATCAAAGGCTGGGACGGGACGGAGACGGTGGGGCGAAGGAAGGCGTACGGGCACAAGAGGCCGCAGTGCACCGTCCTCGAACCCAACCAGCTCCACGGGACGCGAGTCCAGAGCCGCAGCCAGCACTTCCTCCCCACGCAACCCTACTTCGTCACCAACAGCAAAACCGAGGTGACCGTGTGAGTCCGTGAAAAGGTCCGCGAAAGGTTTTCTTGAATGCATGTGGAAAGGAAGGGCCTGCGGGGGGGTGAAAACGTGGCTTCATCGGGCAGGTCTTTTTTTGTCGTCGTGTCGAAAAGGCTCGTGCCGTGGCCGTCTCGCCGCCACCACCGCCGCAGCTGAGTGATTGTCACGTGTGAGTGCTCCTCGTTCCACAAACCAAGCAGTTCACCGAATCCACCGGAAAGAGCGTGGGTTTCCGTCAAGGCGTCATCAGCAAACAAAAAGCATCCGAGGGAACAGTGTGTGTCCGTGTCCACATGTGATATTAGATTTGCCTGACACTGCTAATATCCATAACCTGGTTACGACTGCATAACATCGCGGCAAAATATAGCTATCAAAACTGCCGACCGCCGATAAAGACGGATTTTTTTTATGAAGCAATATAAAAGGAACCATGGAAAGGACTGTGGGAGTACGAACAGCTCATTCGCGAAATCAAAGCACTACCTTGGATTCCCCATACAACTCTTCATAGGGCTCGGGGATGGACGGATGCCAACGGTGGGCGGACACTGTAGGGCTTTTTCAACTCTGTCCTCTTCATAAACTGCGCACAGAGGCTGGATATTGTCACTGCCATTGTTCAATCGTGGTCTTATGTGTGGGCCGACAGCTGGTCCAGGCAGGAGGGGAAGGGGGGGTGGCATCTGGACAGGGGCAACACGTACACAACTCTACACAAACTCGCTTACACGCTGAAATGCCACAAGGGTTTTGGGATCGGATTTCTGATGATAAAACAGGTGGCTACGCTGGCTACAAAAGTCTGTTCTGGAGGATTAGACCAAAGCGGTGCAGTTAGTACAATAATATGAAACGATTTTTTTCTTTGTCGTGAATATTCTTAAAGCGCCGCACATGTTGTAATACAGCACCATGTTTTTTCCACTAATGATCACCAACATGAGATTATTTTATGAGGAGCAATCATTAACTACTAAATTTGTGTGCCAAATTGTTAATTTTTTTACCAATAGGCTACAATGTGAATGGAAATGCACTACAACATGTACGGTTGTGTCCCTCTAAAACATGAGCTATATTTAGTGCATTTCTTAAAATATTTGCACATGACTAAAAATACACATGTTTCTTAATGTAATTGAAGATTCGCAATGAGTTAATTTTGGCAAAAAGTGGACATTTCATACATGATTTTGACTTTTAAACATGTTTTTTGTTTACCATTTGGCATTCTTTACATTTCATAACTTAGAAAAGCAAATGTGGGAAATTTTACTTTTGAGTGTTGACAAATCTCTTGGGGAAGTTCCAACAAACAAGAACTCAAGATCATTTCTTTGTCAAGGTCACATCAGCACATGTTTAAAAGTTCAAAATGTGAAATGTCCGACATTTATCATTTAGAAATGTATCATTTAGAACTTGTACTATAAAATCAATCAATTGACTCTAAAGCTTTCAGAGTTCTCAGAATGGGCAGTAGTGACATAGTTTTGTGTATCCTATACTAATTAAACAACAATTAAACTGTAAAAACACGTATTATTAGATGGAGTCTCAATAGGAAACACTTTGAGTTTGGATTTTTTTTTAACGTAGACCAAACCGAGCCAGTAGTAGCTCCGGGGTTTGTAAACGCTGACTTTCTGAGCCAATACAAGCCAGGCCTATAAACAGATTTAGCCAGACGCATACACACATAAGAAAAATACACAAAAAGAACACAAAACACGGGATGGACTCGTCAGAAAAATGTACGCGAAAGACTGTGAAACTCCAGACCATGGCCCTTTGTAGCGACACCTGATATTATGCTTTTTATAAATATCTATAAATATACAATGTGATCTATTTATGGTTTTTTATGCTTGTTTTAACCCATTTTTCGCTCGCTGCCTGAACGGAGGAGCTCTACGTCAGAGGAGATGGGGGCCGTTGTGAATCTTTTCCGTGGGAAAGTTCAAAACAAGGCAGGAAGGCAATGTTCTGTGAGGTTTAGAGCAAAGGGAGACGGTCCTACTTTCTACCATCGCAGTTATGGGCTGGTCAGGAATCACAATTTACTTCAAATACGGTTCCGTGGCTATAAGCGATTTCGCCGTTCTAAGAGGCCATTTAAAAGTCTAATTTCTGGAATGGCAAAAGTGAAACGGGATGTAATGCAATTTCAAAGAGATATACTGTAGAGGAACTAACATAATATAGCTTAACAATGAAAAAATGGTGCGGGAATTTGAAGCTATTTGAAAACAGCAGCAGGAAATTTTCAAAGTCAATAGAAGCTGTAAGAATTTGAGGCTGGCTAAATGATTAATTGACTGTTTATATATTGTATTCATCCTATTTTTATTTTTTATTTTTTTATTTTACTGTTTATTATTTATTTTATTTATTTTATTTATTTTATTTATTTTATTTATTTTATTTATTTTATTTATTTTATTTATTTTATTTATTTATTTATTTTTCATTTTATTTTATTTATTATTATTATTATTATTTTTTTTTTTATTGGAATAATACTTTGGGTCTATTTTACTGTACATGAGGCTTCTTGATAGGTACGTATGTATAGAAAAGCAAACTAACTTGGGAAAATCTTTGCTTATCTTCTGTCAATCAGTGAAATCCATTCATGATTTTATTGTGTCTTTGTGAATTGGGTCCTTCGCCTGTATAAAAAGCCAGACTTTTAAAAATAAATTCATATTTAAACTGTATTATCTACATTTTTAAAAACACAGAAATTCTGATCCACATTCATGGGAATAAATAAGAATATAAGACCTAGGTTTTCAAGTTGTAATAATACTGTAATTTAGCTGAGAGAGCAACACAAAGTTGACTTATGGGGAATTAAACAGTGGGTAAATGTCAGTGTTGCATCAGTAGTTACAGAACAGTAGGAATGAAGAGAACACATTACAAGTCTATACTAAAATAGATTAAAACGTCTAGCTTTAGCATAACCAAGAAGCAAGTATAACATCTCTAACTTTAGCATAATAAAGAAGCTAGTATAACATCTCTAACTTTAGCATAATAAAGAAGCTAGTATAAAATCTCTAACTTTAGCATAATAAAGAAGCTAGTATAACATCTCTAACTTTAGCATAATAAAGAAGCAAGTATAACATCTCTAACTTTAGCATAATAAAGAAGCAAGTATAACATCTCTAACTTTAGCATAATAAAGAAGCTAGTATAACATCTCTAACTTTAGCATAATAAAGAAGCTAGTATAACATCTCTAACTTTAGCATAATAAAGAAGCTAGTATAACATCTCTAACTTTAGCATAATAAAGAAGCTAGTATAACATCTCTAACTTTAGCATAATAAAGAAGCTAGTATAAAATCTCTAGCTTTAGCATTGTTGACTCATCTGATCTGTTTTGACAATAACCGTGCGTCGCTACTAAAAATTTATGGAGTCAAAATAATAAGTCCATAAACCCTGAAATTCTGTATTTCTCTGCATTTATCCGTGCCGGCTCTCTGCTGCTGTTCACATAAACAGACTTGGAAGCAGGAATGTGTGCTACGTCATCAGCGCTGAAGATAAACGGCATTAGAAAGAGCTGTGTGCAAATCCGTAATTTTACCAGGGGGCGCTCTAACAAAATGAAAAGGCAAACATTGGCTGCATCCATATAAAGACAGCGTTCACATAAAATGAAAACAGTAGCGGCGTACGGTCCGGCAAGAACTGTGCTTTAGGACGACCAAAGTCATTACAACCATAGATAATACACACCAAGTTGTGACAAACCAAAATGTGGGTCAAAATCTTCAAAAAAATATCTGTTTTTATTTCTGAATTTGCACGATATCTTTTTCCCAGAATCTTGTTCCAGCCCAAAAACAGAGAAAGTAGAAAGTAGTGATTGTTGGAAAACTGTGATTTTGTTGTTGTTGATGTTGTGCGCGTGAATCTATTCGTTTGTCTCATTCCTTCTCAATATTATAATTTTTGGCACATTTAAAATCTCAATTCTGAGCTAAAACAGTATGATCATAGACCTTCAGTCCCACCGTATGGCGTGAAAGAACCTCCTCAGGCTCCACTAAGATCAAAAGGCTACGAAACAGAAGAAAGAGAATCAAAATGATGAGATATTTGTTCTGTATCTATTGTTGCTCAAAATTATATCTTTCAAATATTCGATTATTAGCAATCTGTGGATTCACATCCGCTTACGAACAGTCAATTTAGAGTATTACGTGTCCTGCACCCAGCGTTGGGAGTAATGCAGGACAAAAGTACTGTAAACACTGTGATGTATTTCCTTTTGCTGTGATGCGGTGAAGTCACAGACAAAACAAAAATACGTGGGTAATATTATACTTGGTACAAAGGTCAGTAACATATGCTACTTGGTGTTTTGTTTTTCTACTGTGCCACCGCGGGGTCAGACCAAGTAGCCGCCGAGAACCGATAGTCCTCCTTTCTGCTTGCAGACGTCTGAAGCTGAAGCTGAAGCAGAAGCAGAAGCCGGCTCTACGTCTGACAATACAAATACATTTTGCAGATGCACAGACTTTCACTAGCTCTCGTTGAATTTAGTATATACCTGTATGTAGAAGCAACACAATAGTAGTGTAGTGCTTTACAATCAGAGACAGTAACATTGTAGCGCAACACATCACTGTAAAATATCAGTAACATGAATAAATAACGCATAGCGTTTGTGGATTAACTGCCTCCGCCTCACGACAAACGAACCAAACAATAGCAGCCGCTGCGTGACCTTTTCCCTTCCATTCTCTCTCAATTTGTATTTTCCTCTTTGACGGCTGCATTACGGCGAGCGCAGGAGCGGGTCAATGGCGGATGTCCATTATCGAACCCAATTGACTTAATCCAGCAACGCGGAAATGTGGGAGATCGGCGTAGAGCGAGGAGCAGCCGGCGGAACGGCACAAATCCACTGAAGGGGCCGATAAACAGAACCCCGGCACTCGGCTCCGTAAACAAGACGGAGAAGGAGGTCAGGGATCAGCCGGCAGTCAGGTCCGACATCTTTTCTCAGGACGGGGCGCACATACAAAGCAGGGAGGTGCAGGAGGAAGTCACTGACAGCTGCAGCGAGAAGAAGAAAGGTTTGAGATGAAGAGATGGTCCCACAGCGGGGAAATTTCAGTGTTGCATTGCCAGGAACCGAACAGGAGTGAGGAGCACACAGCACATGATGAATGAACGATAACTCTATACTAAAATGAAAAGGGATACTCATAACTTTAGCATAAGTATAAAATCTCTAGCTTTAGCATAATAAATAAGCAACTTTAGAATCTTGAAAGCGTTTGTGGCTCCTGGGTTCGATTCCACCTCCAGACAGGGCCTTTTCATTGTCAAGTTTGCATGTTCTCCTTATGTCTGTGTATGGAGAATGACATAAACAAAACAAAGAATTTAACTGTGCCAAAAAACCTGAGAAGGAGTGAGGAGGCAAAAGCAAGGTTCTGGATGCAGCCGAACGCAGTGATGGGTCGATTCACACTCACAATGTTTAGAACGGTTCATAATGATTTTCTTGAAGCTGTTTTTGAAATGCCTGAATCGTGAATGAGAAACGAGAAAAGACAGCAGTGTATCCACATAAAGGGCTCACATGTCACACTGTTACTTCAAAATCTATAACTTTATTTAAAAAGGACACAGCGGTGGGACCCGGGTGTGCTTTTTGGGGTTTTTTACGCTTTGTGATTTTCATTTTGCTCTTTTCGTAAAGCTTCGGTCCTAAAATGCCAATAATGTGGTTTGGATTTGGACCCAGTCAGCAAGAAAACAGGTTTTGAACAAGCAGCAGGTTCTGGGATAATTAGTGATTTTCATGGATGCTGTTTTGATTAGACAGAAGAATACTAGATTAAATCTCAACTGATTTTTCTCATTCTTCGTACACACGTCTAAATCAATCAATATTCAAATAGTGAATGGGGAGAGACAGATCAAAAATCATTGAGACAAAATCCATTTATATACAGTATGAGAGTGGAAATGCTGGTCTAAAATTATTGTGTTTTGTGTCTTGGAGCTAAATAGGGTTAAATCCAACTCAAAATTTTAAGATTCAAGAATGGATTTGCCATTTGCAGTAAAACCCTGTGCAAGACTAGCCCAGTGTGCACCAGACAGCACCAGAGCACCAGAACACCAGAGCTCCTGCCACAGCGCCAAACAAGGAATTATCTAACTTTTTTTTTTTTTTTTTTGGACAAAAGTTGAGGTTATGGTAATATTTTAACCTTCTGGAGCTAAAAACGCAAAAATGCTAAACAAGAACTTATTTTTTAATGCGATCTTTTTACGTTTTTGTACAAAAGTTGAGGTTATGGAATCATCAAATGCTTCTTGGAGCTAGAAAACAAAATGAAAACTCAAAATAAGAAAGAAAGTCTTTTTTGTTGAGGTTATGGCAATATTGAAACCTCTCTATAGAGTTAAACTTGGCGTATAGAGACAGCATTTCAGTCAGAAATCTTAATTACGGAATAAGTGTTAAGTTAAAGCTGAGGTACCTAACTTTATACAGAAAAAGAAAACAATGGGGAAGAAAAACATATCACAAAATGCCGTTTTAATCTTACTAGAAAACATCTTCTCTCCTCAATACTTGTAAGAAAGAGCCCTGTGAGTTACTCTATGACACCCCCCCACTCACCACCACTAGTGCCCCCCTCCTCCCACCATCACCACCACCATTTCTTGCTGACTGGGTTCCTCTTCTTCTTTGCTTCTTTTCCGTGTCACAGCCACCATCCATCAGGCACCAACGGGCCCCTGGCGTCCCACTTTTCCCCCCATCACGGGTCGATAAGCTATTTGCGATAATAAAAGGAGCATCTATTAGCCGTGCCGGACCCTTCTCTACACAAAACCACGTCCATGGACTCATTTGGCTGTTGATCGTGCGTTAAAACTCACCCTTTCTCTGCGTTCGATGTGCGTGAAAGTGAAAATGGCGATCGTGTGTCGGTGATGGTGTTAACCCTTGAGGCGCCAGAGCATTTATTTATCCTAAAAGTCTCCATTTTTGATTTTCATTTCCTAATAACTTAAAAGTGAAAAGAGATAGAGGCTTTGTGTAAATTGAAGAAATGTTAAGGATGGCCCAAAGTTTATGTCGGAATTAAATGCACCTATCTAATTTGCATATTATGACGTCATATGGGCGTGGCAAATTGTGGATTATCCTGAAATATATACAGTACTTTTATTGGTTTAATTACAGACACATATCACTAGGACATGAACACACAAACAGAACACACACCACACTCAAGGCTCGACACAAATGGTCGTTTTAAACAATCCAAACCACTTTATTTATACAGCACATTATATAAAACAAGTTTACAAAGTGCTGCAGAGAGACAGTATATAAACAGAATATTGTCGACTAACCCGGCGCCTGGAGGGTTACACGCCCATTCTCACTCTTGTTTTTCACAGTAGCGTATGCACCGTGGGCCCCGTCGTCTTTTTTATAACCTGTGAGTTAAAAAAAAACAGTTGTATTTTGGTACTTTTTCCTTTTTCCCACGGATAGAAATTAGCAAACATTCCATGGTGTTGCTACTTATAATGAGTTTGGTTTTTGGAGGAGGCTCACGTCCAGTATCTTTGGGTTTTTCTTTTCTCTTTGAGTTGTTGGGTTTTGCTTATGGACTTAAGTATTTCACCGTTGTTCTACCTACGATTTTCTTACGTGGCAATAAAAGATGACTTCTGTATAAAAAAATTAAAAAGTTGTGTGAGTATTTTTGGTGCTTTTTTTTGGATTCTCGTCTTCAAAGTGAGAGAGGTGGCGGGATGAAAGACGCTGACTTCAGACACACCTTTGTATTTAGGGAAAAGATGTGTTTGGAGTCGACAGAAATGACAAAACCTTCACAGGCTTTGAGCAGAGACAAACTTGTGACCAGTGTCGGAAAATGTCATTTAAATATATGTTTATAAAGCCAGCTACTGAGACAAGTTTATCTGTATTAAAATGAACCCTTTTATGTTCCCTTCTAGAGGAAAGCAGTCTACATGTTTCTTTGTCTGAGTTTCTAAGATGTGGGAGCAATACCAAATTATCATGATTTTATGTTATTTTAAAATATATATATACAGTATATTATTATATCATATTCATATAGACCTTTACCAAATGGTCGGGTTGCAGTTTAATGGTAGAAGAGATAGATTTGAGTTCAAACCAAGCTTCAAGTAGAAATAGTGACTGTAAAAAGTGATCCACCAAATGGTTAAGTTAAGTATTAAAGGGTTAAGAGATCCTTTTTCCACAGTGGGGAAATTCCAGTGTTGCATCACAAGTTACAGAACAGTAAGAATGAGGAGCAACCAGCACAAGATAAATGATCAATAACTCTATACTACAATAAAATAAAATCTATAACTCTAACACAAAAAGAAGAAAGTAAAAAAGCTCTATCTTTAGCATAACAAGGAAAGAAGTTTAAATCGTCCGACTTCAGCGTAAGGAAGAAGCCACAGTAGCACGGTTCGTACCGAAACAATATAGAAACAATACATCCTTCCATCTTCTCCTCTGTAAACATTTTCTGGATCATATATAATCACAGTACATAAAAAGAGTGAAGATAGAATCCCTCAGTTGTTGCAGAAACAGAATTGTTTGTCAAAGAAGAAGCCTTTCTCACATTTTCAGGAAGACATTTTTAGTCCTGACTCTGGGACCAGCAGGAGGCCAGTCCCTGTGCTCCTCAGAGTCCCAGCAGGAGGCCAGTCCCTGTGCTTCTCAGAGTCCCAGCAGGAGGCCAGTCCCTGTGCTTCTCAGAGTCCCAGCAGGAGGCCAGTCCCTGTGCTCTAACATGGGGCACGGACATGTCACAGATGTACTTTGGTTCTAGGCAGTGGGGAGACTTGTTCTGACCCAGAGCAGCATTAAAGTCTATTCTTCAGGAGCAGACCAATCCTCTTGCCTACAGATCCCCACATTGTGTATGATCTGTAGGGGTTCCCAGCCTTTCTGTCCCATAGACTGTAGAAACTGGGGGCCAACCTGAATGTGAGTTTTGGTCTAGATCATCATCAGGGGTTTGAAACTATACAGCAATGTTAACAAATATATCCTAGTCTTAAATATCTTTCCCATGTCCTTTCCTTCCCTTTCAACTTCCACAGTGCCTTCAGCTCGCCCCCGCCTGGATCACCCGCCCCATCACCCGCCCCATCCAAAAGGAATTAAGGACTTTTACTTGATGTAGAATCTCTGGCACAACTTGAGACAATCCTTTAAAAGACAGCGCACTGATGGAGTACTCTGCCTTCTGCCCGGGTCCCCCTCACTCCCTCTCTCTCCCCCTCTCTCCCTCTCCCTCTTTCTCTCCCCCTACTCTCCTGCATCGTTCTGGGGATGTCTTTGGACCTCAAACGGTGGGAAAACACTGCCAGGACGCTTCAAAACCTTGAGTATAGCGCTCACATATGGTTGGCTACAAACCCGGCTTTCAACGGCGAGGCATCTGTGGGGGAAAGCGTGGAGATAATTACCCGGGCCGCGCCGCCGGTCGGCCATTGAGCACGCAGTCCGGGGAATTTCCGTGAAAAATTAAAACGGCGGCTGTGTTTGTGTGTCTGTTTGGGAGCTTGAAGCCATCTGCCGTTCGTCTGTTGTAGGAGAAACGCTGGGTTTACCTGTGTTTGTGGAGGAAAGTGATGGAACTGAAAGTACTTTTTTAAGCTGGGGAACCTGACTTTCAAACCACAGCAGATAGAACGCTGCGATGTCGAATCCATTTGACTAAATTTTGTCCCAAAACTTCAGTTCTATCACTGCTTTTCACAGGATTGTTCTGTTTGTGTAATAATACAATTTTATAAAGTGCTCTTTCAGATTCAGATTCAGATTCAGAATCAGTTTATTTGCCATTTGCAGTAAAAAAAAACACATTGGAATACATTAGCAAAAGTCTCCAGTGTGCACAGACAAATACAGACATAAAACAACATTAAAAGACAAAAATAAAACAAAAAAAACAAATAAAACAGTAAACAAATGTCACTGTGAAATCAATCGACTAAAACAGTTCAAAACAAGTGCAAAT